GTATGTATATATATATATGTATATATATGTATATGTATGTATATATACATGTGTATGTATATATATATATGTGTATGTATATATATATATATATATGTATATATATATATATGTGTATGTATATATATATGTATATATATGTATATGTATGTATATATATATATATATGACAGTGAAAACATGTACACAGCATAATGAAGAAAGTAACACATCTTTGTATTTCAAAAAAGCTAAGGGTTTTAATGGTAATAATATGGTAACTTAACACCTTGAAGGACCAGTTTGAGATTCATGTGTATGTTCTCAACATTTTCGTGGGACAAACAATTAATCCTAATTAAAGGCAAAGAGATTGCTTACAATGTTGTTTTGTGACTAAAACAGCTTCCTTTAAGTTGTATGGCTTTTTTTGCAATGCATTTACATATACATGTTTCCATTACTGATGTGTTTTCTATTATTCAGTATCAGTCAAGAGTTCCAGTGTTGTGTCTTGTTTTAGAACCAAATCAAGGAATGTTCTGCTGAACACACTCTGCGTGAACTCTTTCAAACGAGTTTGAAAGAGATTTTGTAACTACCTCTTTCGTAACAGATGGGGGAAAAAAATAATGTACATAAACCCACAATGCGAGTGACAATTTCTGTTTCTATTTTATGCAAGACTGAATTAGTTCTCGATCCTAACTTGCAGTGATAGTTTTTGCTCACTTTGATTGTCTTGTCTCCTGCTTTCACCATTTCACTCACATTTCCTTTTCTTTTTGTCCAAATCTGTCACATTACTTGGTTTCCACCGTGTCTTCTCACTGCCATCTAATCATCCCTCTGATTCACATTGTCCTCCTCCATCTCTCTTGTGTTTTCCCAGTGGAGGGTCAGTGGTCGGAGTGGGGGGACTGGTCGAGGTGCAGCGTGACTTGTAACACGGGGACGCAGCTGAGGCAGAGACGCTGCAGTGCGTCGGTGCACGGCTGGGCCGAGTGTAAAGGGCCCCATCAGGAGAGCAGAGACTGCACTAACCCGTCATGCAGTGGTAAATGAGTGTTCGGCATTTACACTCACATGCCAGCTTATTTCCAAACAGCATTATGAAAACAAATATCACGCATTATCTTAAGGCATGCCTACACTCGTCTATGATTCACGCGTGAGTAATTTTGTGAGCGGAGACCTAATTTGGCAAGTCTCTTTTCAGCTAAGGCCTCAGAGGACAAAAAGAAACTTGGGTTTTTAATGAGTCTGGGGCCCACATTGAGCTTAATTTTAGGCTTTGGGCTTAGTTTTTAAATCAACTTAAAAAAAAAAGTAATTTAAAAAAGAAATATATTGTGTCAAAATGAGTATTCATCACCATCTGCTCTCATTTCTTTCCCTAATTTCTCATGAAACACTAATTTATTTCTCATACATCAATTCTGACCCTCTTTCCCGCTGACGCTCTGCTCATGCAACCAGGTGGAGGGAACTGGGGCAGCTGGAACCACTGGAGTCTCTGCAGCAAGACATGTGACTCTGGGCTGCAGCGACGCTTCAGGACGTGTGAGGGCATCGGGACGCCCTGTGAGGGATTGGAAGAGGAGGTTCGGCCCTGTAATGAGAAAAAGTGTCCCGGTCAGTGACTTCAGTGGACTTTACTATTGCAATGTGTGTGTGGGAGAGAGAGAGAGAGAGAGAGACCCGTTAAAGATGAGAATTATGGTATTGCTTATGTTTATTTAGTTCACACGTTCAGTTTCACTTATTTTCCATACTGCTAGTGTATATATCGCATAATGTGTTTCTGTAAAACAAGTGTGTCTTGTTTGTACATGCACAGCGTTTGTCAGGCAGAATACACGGTGATTCCCAGCGGTTTGCACCTCGGCCGACGACATCCATCGCAATTTCCACCACACTCATCTTTTCATCTTCCGGTCTCTCTATTCATTGATTTAACATGTCCTTAGCTTGTGGCGCTGCCTTTTTACTCCTGAGTTACTCCATTTCCCTTTTTAACACTGTTTTAATGCACTTACCTTCCCCGCCATGGCTACTTTTAGATCAGTGTTCCTCCCTGCTTCTGGACAAGATGCTCAACGGTCCGCTCGCTCCGTGCGTTTTGTCAGCGTCATGGCTGGAGTTGTGAGAAGATGCAAGTGTATTTTTGGTGGACGCCCGAGTGCCACATGTTGTTTGCTTTGAGATTTGAGGGGGGCTACAAACGATGAACTTCTGAGCGGCGCTTCCACTGTGACCTCTTTGTTTTAAGGAGCTCTCAAGTCTCTTTTACACAAGACGGGGATCTTGTTTGTTGGCATTGCAGGCGAACATAATATCATCTTTTCACTCCTCTCTGTCTTTGCTCATTGCTTTCTGTCCCTCTTCATCTCTCGGCATTTGCCTCTGCCAGCTCCCCTCCTCCTCCGCCTCCACTCCACCCCTTTGGAATATCTTCAGAGTGCTCTCCTCTTTTTTTTTTTTTGTTTTTTTTTCATCAGGGTTATGAAGCAGAGTGAGGGGGAAACAAGATGAATACAAAAAAAGAGGAATGAGATGAAGAGGGAATGAGATACTGCACTGAGGCAATGTCACTGACAGAGAGCACTGAGGAATGTACAAGGGGATACGATTGGGAGTTGCTGCAGGAGAGCACAGATTTGAATCTTGTTTTTTTGGGAGGGACTTTTTTATCGCCCACGCATCCTTTTATTTATTTATTTTTACGATTTTTTTCTCAGCCAGAGTGTGTGCATCACTTTATTGTGGTTTTCAGTTCTCTGTTTGCCTACTATTCTGTGCTACAATCTACGTTTAATGTCTTTTCTTTTTTACCCTCAGCTCTTCATGAGATATGCAAAGATGAGCAGCTCCTCTCCATGTCGTGGAAGAGAGCCTCAGCTGGTGAAATTGTCTACAACAAGTGTCCAACAAATACTACTGGTCAGTGGCATCAAGCACATCATTTTATTAGCTAATTAGTATAATGTAATTGCCTATGTGCATGTGTGTTTGTCTGATGGCAACATATCTCTTCAATTCTCAAAGTTTGACTGGTGAGTTTCTAAGGTCAACCCGAATCAAGATGGTCATCACAGCTAATTAAACTTAATTAAACAAACACACATAGAAATGTTATAACTTAGCTTTTTTTATTCAAATAATTAGCTAAAATGTGAGTGGTAGAAGTCAGACTGCTGACAGATTACGCATGAACCTTGTTTAAAACATTGACATGTCAGGCGCAGAGCAATTTATATTTATTCAATAAATGCTCATTTTATTTTTCATATTTAATCGGACGTTGTTAATGTTTGTATTAGACGTACAATACGCAGTGAAAGTCAGTCATCAAGGCAAAGGTTTGACAGGAAGTCGGCAATATGTAAAAAAAATAATAATAACAAATATATACATATATACACATATATACACATATATATATACATGTGTATATATATATATATATATATATATATATATATATATATATATATATATATATATGTTTTATCAGGAAAGAAAATAAAACTGCAATCTGCATTACTAAAGCAAAATATGTGTCATTATGATTATTATGACTAGTAAGGCATCAGGGGCGATTCTGCCCTGTAGGGGTGTTTAGCACCCAGTGTTGACAGTGACTCAGCTTGAACAACGCAGTGGCCATTGACACCAGAAGCATTTGTAAAGTAGGGAGGACACATTGGTGGAGGGTCTGGGGGTTCCTCCCCTGAAATTTTTGAATAAAGTAGATGCCATTTTCTGCATTCTGGTGTATTTCCATGGGTTATCATGTTTACCTACATAAATAATTACTTGATTCAATAACTAATTTAGACAGCATGACACAACAAGGAGTAGTGCTAAGCTAGTGGCGAGCAATACAGAAGCAGTAGCTAAAATGCTACAGACATAGCACTCCACTTTGCATCACATTCATTCATTCAACCTTTATTTATACAGGTTAGTCTCATGAGTCACACATATTCATTTTCAAGAGAGACTTGTATTGAAAAAAAAACACACACAGATGAGGTACACACAGCAATAAACAGTCATACAAAAGCATTTAAAGCATGGACATATGGACACATATAAAGCATGTGCATAACCTAATAAATGTTGTGTAGAAAGCTGGTTTAGTGTTAACTGATATAACAAACAAAGACTAAACTTTTGCAACCAGAAGCTGCAACATAGATATATCTAGATTTAAAACACAAAACAAAGCACAACTATAATAATTAACCTTTAATTTAACCACTATGTAGCCTAATTATGAGAAATAAATTGGAGGTCTTACTACCTTCACACAAACAAAAGTGTGGTACTTCCTGTTTATCACTTGTTAGAAAGCCCACAATGTTTATGTGTTGTTGACTTGTTTACTGAGCTAAGATTTGTTTAGTTATAGCTTGTTTCTTTTTTGGGCTCATAATTTTTATGCTCTTAAATGCATCATAGCTGTTCCAACGCTTGTGAACACACCGCTCTGTGTAAAAAAATGTTGTGCTGCATGAACTAGATTTTTTTTTCCTCTTGACGTAAACAGAACTTTGCGTTTGAGCGTTTACCTACACTTTCTTAGTTTACAGCTGTGTGCATTGCCAGAAGAAACACAGCAAATAAATGAACCCTATACTGGATATCTGTATATGTGTACTTTAATGGGAGTGCAACTTTAATTTTACATTTTTTCCTGGAGAACACCAAGACTCTCCTAGGAGAGGTTTGGTGTTCTCCAGGAAATTAACTGGTTTAGAGCAGCAAAATATGAATGTGTACTCCCATTCGCTCTGACCGCTTAGTTTAGAATTGGTTGTCAATAGTAGCAACCCATGTTAACCTTAGCCCCTTTTGCCTAGGTGTTAGCTCATCTAACCAGTCACATCTTAATATAATTTTTCTCCTAACTTAGCCTATTGAAATATAATGTTTATTTGCTGCAGGTAAGACATGGTTATATAATATTTCCAGAAACTCTCACTTTAATAAAACCTGACCAATTGTTTCTATACAATTCTCCTACAATACAATCTTAGGGCTTATTCTTTGATACAATAATGAAGAAACTTGAATTCAAAATCTTTCTCCTAACCTACAAAGCTCTCAACAACCTAGTTCCATCTTATATTACAGATCGTATTGTTCCATATTTTCTTAACAGATCACTTTGCTCTCAAACTGCAGGCTTACTTACGGTTCCTACAGTCTCCAAAAGAACAATGGAAGGAGGATCTTTCAGTTATCAGGTTCCTTTCTTGAAAACCAAATTCCAGATTTTGTCTGTGAAGCTGACACATTTTCCATTTTTAAGACTGAACTTAAGACTTTCCTTTTTGATCAATCCTATAATTAAGGTTGGTTTATTATTTTGCCATAGGCTTAGACTACTAGAGGACAAATTGACCTAATTCCTTAAATACATGGTTAAAATTGAATAGTTTTCATTTGATATTATTTCAATCTTAACGTGATTCTTGACCTGCCATTGTGTATCTGTTCCTATCAAACCCAGCCGGTCAAAGCAGATGCCACCTTGTCCAGAGCCTGGTCCTGCTAAAGGTTTCTTCCTCATGAGGGAGTTTTCCACTGTCACCTTCATGCTTGCTCAAGATGAGAGTTCTGTGATGGAGTTAAATTCAAAGCAATCTGCTCCTCAGATAAATAGTGCAATTTATATATTTATATGCATTTAGTCCTCTGTCCTTAATTAATAGAGTAGAAATGTGCTTTTGGCATGCTATAAAAGTTATTTCTGTAAATCCTATCACTGCACTTTTGATGCAAACTGCAGAGTTGATCAAAGTGTGAGATGTTGGGACACTTTCTATTAACTTCTTAAATCAATCCATGAATAGATGTGGTCCAGAAGACCAAATACTGCATCAGCATGAACTGCTGCATGCTCTGTCAATGTCAAAGCATGCCCTAATGAATCTGATGTCCTGCCAGTAAATATTATAGCTTCAAAAGTTATATTTGAACTTCAATCAAACTTTTACATCCATTCCACTTGGAAACTTCACTATTTATTGCTGTATAACACAATAAGTGATAAAAAAAAAAGTAGTGACTGGGATTTAGCCAGTTTCTAATCATTTATCTGCCAAGTTGAAACAGAAGAACTGCTGCATATGCAAAAGGTTTGTAGGCTCAATCATCCAGCTAGATAACAAAAAAGGTTGAAACTAGTCCAGATGAAATTATTATTATTATTATTATTATTATTATTATTATTATTATTATTATTAT